ATATATATATATATATATATATATATATATATATATATATATATATATATATATATATATATATATAAATAGAAACAGCATCTTATCTCTTGTGAACGAAACATTAAGGCATATTCATGTTTATCAAAACATTAGCATCAATTTAGACCTGACCTTTGTCGTTCTTCACAGGCACCGCACCCGCTGTGCTCTGTATTCCCATGGGTGCGGGCGCCAAGGAATTATTCGTCACAAAATAGTCCATCATCATTTTGACGCCGTTTCGGTGGACACGTCACTGAGCAGAACTGAAAGAGAGGAGGCAAACTGAATATCAACAGATCCGTTATTCGCACGCACGTTATATTTACTTGCTTACCCTCTTTAGTTTTCTTCGACAAGCGTTTCTTTTTTTCACTCTTTTTATAGTTTCATGACTTTGTCTTGCAATGTTTTCAGCCTACACTGTAAGATTGAAAATCGCTTTATATCACTTTCTCTACTTTTCCAAACGTGTTAATTCTTCTATCCTTAACCCTGTTCCTCGTCCTGAATGTCTCTTTTCCGATAAACGCGCTACACACTTTGGTTAAGTTTATCTTGACAAACCGACACTCCGAACTTTGTTCGATTCTAAGCGCCCCCGTAGCTGTCGGAAGTTAAGCAAAGTACAGGAATCGATGTTGGTCGATAAAACAGATGTAACAATCGAACGATACCATCGAAATTCAAAATCTCGTGGTCGACTTTCGATTCAAATTGTTCATCCTCGAAACTTCTCAATTTGATTCCAGTCACGTAAAACGTATGTACAATCAGCGCCTAGGATAATTTCCTTGTAGAAAGAAGAAGAATTCGTTGTGTACGCGAATCATAAAGGAGCTTTCGATTTAGCACCATTTTCGCAAAGTTGGCAGCGGATACAGTGCTACGATGTACGTATGCAAATTAAACTCGATTACTTTGTAAATTTATTTCTGTCACTTATCGTGTCAGCTTGTCACATTTTCCCGCTCGTTATAAAACACATGGATTACACAACGCAGCAAATAAGTTGTCACGATTTTCAAGGTGCAACAGTGGCGACACGATATTATCGCTCGAAATATTTATTTATTTCTATCTCGAGATCACACTATCCTGAAGCGAGGCGATTAGCAGTGATTAGCAGTGATTAGGCGACGAATGGCAAGCGACGTCAGCATGGGCCGTATCTTTCTTGGTCCTGTCGACGCACAAGTCGCATTCTTCTATGCTAAAGAAATCGGAAAGAGCTGGACTGAGGTAAATTAACGTTACTACGCATGAAAGGTCACGTTCGAACGGTTTCTGTCAATTGCGTATCAATATCACAGTTTCTCATATAATCCCCTCTTGCTTCTCATCGAGAAGATTCGTATCATTACGAAATGGTGTTAATGTCAAAATGATCTGTTTCCCCAGTCCCAAATTCCGGACATTTTATAAAGACGTTGAACAAGGGAGAGGAGGAGGAGACATCACCACATTATATATATATATATGTGTATGTGTGTGTGTGTATGTACACATATGCACACATATGAAATATATTTTATCTATAGATAAAAATTAATTTAAAACAGCAATAAAGATCTGCTATGTACAGTAAAAGTGGAAGCTTTTGCAACGACAAAACTATTATTTTTATTTAAAATTAAGAAGAAGCAAAATTATTGTATTTATCAGGGCTGTGAATTTTCTTGATAGGATCTTTCCTTGTCAGAAACGCGTTAAAAATCCGGGAGAAAGGGCGGAAAATCGAAACCGCGAAAAACTTGATGTCTGGTGAATGCTTAAGGTAAAGTAACAAATCGGGATGCAACTGCAACATCTAGCTACAATAAAAGAACGATATTCGTTTCTTCAAGTGAATCTCTCATGTATAAAAAAGCCATACTGTTACATACAAATTCAAGATACAGTCGCGAATATACGATCTGCGAAATGGAGGAAGCCGCGGCGGACTATTCTTTACAAAGCGGAATAGATAATGACCGACCGAATGAAAAAAATTCAAATTTGATGTCGCACAATGATGGAATCCACATCGTGGAGCAGGTGACACAATTCACGTGTTCCTTATACATTTCACGTGCTGACGGTCTTCAAGATCAAGGCCACATAGTCCAAGGTTTACCAAGCTGACATACTCGTACCTATATGCATACAACGTTTAATATAGATTAAACGTAAAAACCAAAGAAGAAAATGAGCTTCTGCATATTAGTCACTCGATCGTTTAGGTTGCGAGCTGTTGCGATCCAAACTCGAGGAAGTTATCGCTGCTGTCGAACCGTTCTCGGCTTGGCGAGTCACGGAAACTCCGTGTGGTTTGATTGCTGCCTTCGCCAGAGAAAACGACGCTGAGAAACTACTGCAGCGCGGCGATCTAGGCCAAGTGTTCGGAACACCTGTACAGGTATGGAGTTTGTATTAATTAATGTGTCTGAGTGTTGTTGAAAAATCCTCTCTTGACTAATTTCATTCGCATCAGGTTGCGCGATTCTCGGCGCGGGATTCCCGGTATCGTCAAGCTGTGTTACTAAGAGGCGTGCCGTGGACAATACCACTCGAAGATATCAATTCGGCCCTGGCCAAGCAAGGAATCGTCGTTGGCAACATCGAACGTGCGAGACAGTTTGTTCGTGTTGAGGTGATTGCTCACCTTCCTAGTGTCTCGTTAAATAGCGCAACTGTTGGCGCACAATGTGCGGCACAAGCCGCATACACCTATAAAAAAAAAAAAAAAAGTTTCTTTTTGTTCGATCGTTTATTGTTTTTTCTCGCGCAGGTTTTCGACGCGGGCCATTACGAGGCCTTGCTGCGTCAAGGTCTGAACTTCTTCGGGGCGACGCGCTTTAACGGTGTTCCAGAACGCTGGTGGCGTGGCGGTAATAGTCCTGGATGCTCCAGCATGCCCTCGCAATGTGCACCAAGACAAAATGACAATACTTCGGCGACGTCGAATGTACGAGTCGTTGACGGAGTATTGCAGTGTTATCGTTGCCAGGGTTTCTGGCACGTGGCTGCCAACTGCCGGCATCTTCCACGTTGCGTCCGCTGCGGCGAGCCACACAGCGTCGAATTTTGTCCGAGACCGCGCAACAATCCTATATGCTGCCACTGCTCCGGACCTCATCACGCCGGTATATCTCGCACGACGACTCGTTCTCCTCCTTGCTGAGAATCGTCATATTTAATCACACGCATCTCACCTGCATCATTTATATCGATCAGACGAATATGCAAAGCTTTATAGCAGCTTGGAGAAAAGAACTTTGGAAGGAAATGTCGATTTCTCATCGACAAGACGGGACAAGACGAGACACGCAACGCGCGAAAGTTATTCACGATTCGCTTCAGGAATTCAGCCGGACACTATGCGCGTAACAAATTGCTCGTCGCTGTCTCGTTATCGCCTCATTATTTCCGCAATAACAAATAATTCCTGTTTACGTACGTTAATTAACTGAGCATACTGAAGAGCTGGGTCGAATGCAGTCAGGCACAGTGGAAAAGAAGGCATCAGTGTCATTCTACAATAGATGTTTTAAGTTCTAGGACTTATGATTTAAGCTCTAAATTGTGATGTATTTTCGACACGTTTATCGCGCTGCTCTAATCTCTAAGTCTTAAGCGAGTTGGCTAACTTTATTTTTCAAAGCTTAGGACTTGAGACTTAAAACTGATGTAATTTCTCTAAGTCACGATCTACAATAGATGATTTAAACCTTAAAAACTGATCAATCAAATTTGAGGAGAATAATCAACTGTGAGTGTTTAGTTTTTTAAGATTTAAATCACTTATTGTAGGCCGGGACTAAAGCATAAGGTTTAGCACTTAAAACACTTATTGTAGAATAGGAATTAACGAAACTGCCAATTTTCGTGAAATACGACTCATTCATGGGTTAAATTACTTATTTTTTTAAATCGCGTAGCATCTTTTGCACATAAATCACTTCTGTCCCTAACGTGTTACTTGCTTTACTAAAAAGATTTCATGCTAAAATTATCGGGACACTCACGCGTTATACAGACACACATACACACACACACGCGCGCGCGCACATACACACATACACACACCTGGTACAGTAGGTCTATAATCTCTTTCATTATTTATTGCAGGATATAGGCAATGTCCAGTCAGGTTACAATTGTCCAATGCGACGCCCGTGAGCATTACGTTGAGTACAACTCATATAGGAGGTCAATATCCAGCGAGCGCCGTGAACAAATCGAACCCTTCGTGCCATTCGCTGAGACAAGGCCACTATTAAGGATTGTGTTTGTCGAGCAAAATTACATACAGGAGAACATTAACGTCATCAGCATGTTTGAGCACTCATTGTAACTGGGATAAGAGTCGAGCAATTTGCATATCTTACTGTTGCGCAATTACTTATCGCTTGTTGCAAGCGAAATTTCGTGATACCATATGCAGAACGGTTCAAGTAAACTGTGTGAAAGCGAAAACACATGTTGTATAAATAATGTCGACAAGCTCTTTCGACCGAGAGAAATTTCACTCATACATAAGTACATAAGTATACGCAATATCTTATATTTTACATATACAAGAATAAATTGCCATCGCTTCCGAAACTTATTCAACGCGCTTGTGTCGTATGTATAATGTTTTTCTAGGAAGATGTAAGAAAATACATTTATGTGTGCTTGGAGACATTGATCGTTGGTACCTTTTGTTAAATTGACGAATGGTCGCTTCTCTTCTTTTTCACAGTGATCTCTTAAATATGGTCAAGAGTCCACAGATTTACGTTACTATCCGAGGAATCGTACTCCACCGTTTCGTCCCACTTTCTTCGCCCTAGTCCCCGAGAATGTGGGTCTCCCCACCGGTATATCGCTGCCACTAGGTGATACTTCGCGACCATGGGAGAGGGTAGGTACGCGCGGCTGTCACATTATTGCTCACCATTCGATCGGCTAGTAGTCCGATTCTACCCGTGACGGTTAATGTGTCTATTATAATTATATATAATCTATACTCGTCCACATCATTCTCGTAGCCAGTCCAACCGGTTCTAACCGATGATCTCGAGAAAGGTAGCTTTGTTTTTTGCCGAGTAATTTTTCATGCAAAATCAAGAACTCGAAGACATTTGCATAAATCACGCAAGCCTAGCAAAATATCGAATAACGTCGCGTGGTGAGTTTGACGATTTTGTTCGAAATATCGCAAAGTGTTGGCGAAAAAGTGAGACGAATGATGGAAAGTTGCATGCAGCGTTCCCCGTGCAAGTTGTGAATTTTCTTTAAAGTATTATTAAGTAACTGGGGAATGTTGTTTACGGGTATCCGAATTTGTATGTCATGTAAGAGATTCTAAAACGTTATGAAGGATTTACGAAGATACAAGATCACGCAACGGTGATCACGGCGAGAAGGGAACCAATGTTTTAAACAAAAAAGTAAAAAAAAAAGGACAGAAAAGATGCATTCGTTAGACTTACGGACGTTCCTTCTTGTCGCGTCAACATGTAGTTTAACCGTGCAGCAACCAACGTTCTTCAGAAATACATTTAAAGGTTTGAGCGGCCTCACCTTGAGTTCCACGGCGCTCGCAAGTGACGAGATAAGAGTTGTTTATTATCACGAACAGACAGTGGCGGTGGTAGATCTTGGTCCGAGAAATGTGTTGCACGACTGCAATATAATCGAAGTATAGTAAGTGGATTTCCGTACCTAAAATGCAAGTAACTAAAAAAAGTTTAAGCTATCGAAAACCAGTCTTCGGAGCGCTTCACACTTTTTTCTTGTAGTGTACTATCTTGACATGCATCATTGACTCTTTCAGCAAGCCATCAGAGGCTACCGAAGTTCTACGAAACTTGTCTATGACTTTACATCCACAAGTGGTGTCATTTCAGGAGATTACAAGACTCATGCAACAATGCGAATTGTTGGATAGCATTCGAGTGGAAACCACATCCGCTCTATCCACCAACGTACTGAGCAGAGGGACTCGCATAGCCGCAAGTTCCATCACTTTGCTCTCCGGCATTCTGCCGGGTTAGTTACTCGTATTACTAATGAATCACGTAATCTCTGGCCGAACTCGTTAACAAAGGTTAATCCGTATTCTAGGAACGAAATGGTGCGGTACGGGTGACATAGCTGAGAATTATCACGACTTGGGCGACGTACCTTACGTCGACAGGTAAGATACTTTCGTTATCGAGAGACACAAGGACACGAAATTTCGATTTTCGGAAACTTGAAGAATTGTCAAATTTGCTTTTCAGATGCTGTCGTACCCACGATCTCTGTCCTATAAAGATCCGTGCTCAACAGACCCGTTACAATCTCACGAATTATTCCCTGTACACCAAGTAAGAGCTCATTAGTTGAACTTCAAATATAAATCACCGCGTTTTCCGCGACAAGAGCGAAAAAAACATTTTTACCGTAATGTGTTTTGTGACCATGTCACTGTGTATTCTTTTATTTCAATTGTTAATTCTCATCTCATTAGATCATTAATTACCTAACACAATATTAGGATCTACGTTCCAATATTAAGATCTACCGTTCGACGGAGTTTCAAAATTGTTACTCTCACACATTCAGTTTTAAACGTTTCACCATTTACAGGTCACATTGTACTTGCGACAAGGCGCTTTATCAGTGCTTGAAGGCTGCCAACCATCCAACGGCGAATCTACTGGGGCAAATTTATTTCAATATCGTCAAGGTGGAATGTATAGAAGACATACGACACACCATCTCCTCGGAACCGTTAAGAAAATTTGTACCTGTGAAGAGAGAGTATTAGTTGTGAAGGATATTAATTATATATATGGTCTTTATATACAAATTACACAACACAGCACGCCATGACGTCGTTCAAAGGCTTACCACACTTTATGGAAATTGACAAAATTAGTCATTATAAGTATTATTTGAAGGATACGACATTTTTTATACTATATTTATACAGCATGGGATTTATATATTGTCTGATACGCACTTTTCTGAATTGTAATTTTATAGTCACTTTCTTAAAGGAGATCCCTTACATTTTGTTTCATGCACATTTTCCAATTGACAAGATAGCCTGATCCAATGACGATAAGAAAGGTATAATGTCTCTTATATATTGACTAGTACTGAGTGACTTGTGATTGTACAAATTTCCTGCAACAATTCACACTGACATAGGTGGATTGTTTCCTCTTTTACGTCTCATAAGAAAAAAAAAAGTAGAAAAGAATGACATGTACCTATTAACCAGAGAGCTTCCTTTCTGATATGTATATATTGATGCGATAATAATGTATTCAATAAAATACACAGATCTTCCTGTGAATATTTTGAATTCCTCAGAAGAATGTTTGTTTTATCCTCGTGAGAGTTATGTAACATATTAGCCAATATACGTACAGATGCTGTAATCTAAAGAGCAAAAAAGACTGAAATAATATACCATTGGTACTGAGTGTTCCATAGACTCTGCATTCGCTGCGGACGTTCTCGTGCCGACAGCGTCATTCTACTTTTATTGTTTGCTATATGATGAAGGAAAACAAAAGTGTCCAGAGCGAATGCAGCCATAGTTGTCACATAGATAACAACCTCTGTAGTGTTAAAGACATTAATTGTCTTATCTAAGCTGCAACAATGAAGACGATCGACAATCTGCGACAAAATGGACGAGTGCAAAAGATTTGGATATGTAGCAAATACAGTTGAAGAGGACAGCAGAGCTAACAACCAAGCAAAATTTGGATCTTTGTACAGAAGATTTTGCTTTAGAGTAGCATGAATAAGTTCCAGCATCTCCTTTTCTCTGAAAATATTAAAAATGTATTAGATCTGCTCACAAACTTTTACCTCTTGCTCTCCTATCATTGATTTGTATGAAAATGGACAATGGTGCTTACTTACGATATCTCATAAAATCCTACATGTACATAGTGTAAAATTGCATATATCACAGAAGAAAGAATCGTATCATCACAATTGTTCAATAATAAAATTAGATGCTTTAGACAGTTTTGGGCATGTAGAACAAAGAAAGCCTTCTTACTTCCTGCGATCAAATTACCAATTGTCCAAATACACACATCCTAGCAAAATATAAATGATTGTTCTTAGTTAAAATAAACAACTATACACTCAGCTTAATATCACTCAAGTTTACCAGCAAAGCATAGTTTAAACTTTCTAGTTCAGTAAGCAGATATGGGACAACAGCTTTTCCTAGCGCAGTACAGGCTTTTGTATTTCCAAGAGCAATGTTACAGCAGCAATTTGCTGCGTATAATTGGAGAGTTGGATTACCGCCAGAAAGATCACGTATCAAGCCTGATAAGTTTTGATCAATTTTTAAGAAGGAATTAATATTTTCCTCACACTGGAAAGAATACATAATATAAGTTATATTATGTTATATTGGTTTGTTACCCATAGATTCATGATTTATTAATTATAAATATTGCAATCTTACATACGATTCGCAAGGATAATGTTGTGTTGTCCAACAAGACTGATCAGTATGTCAATAGAACGTACCTGAATAAGAACATTAGGCAAATATCTGTAATCCTCGCAGGATATTCTCTTTTTCCTAAGAAGCTTTGCCCTTTCGTTAACGTAATCAATTGAAAAGAATTCGTTCTTGGAAGATTCTCCCAAACTTGCGCGATTTTTATTCCAAGCGGACGTACGATCCTTCTTTCTTTTTGCTAAAGTAGCTTCTCGTAATCCCACTCGTGCTGTCTCAAGGGTGTTATCATTATACGGCTGGAATTGTACAGTCTCATCTATTTGATCATCGGTGGTCTGCATCTCAAATTGAATTCGATTAAATTTTCGTCGCAGTCACACGCGAAGCATTACGCACATTCACGTTAGGTTAAAAATTTGAATAGCAGGGATTCAAACCGCGTTTTCTCTTTTTCTTCAATAGGTGCAATAGATTTGCTTTTTACCGGTCAATAGATTTGTTATCGAGTTGCGAGAAATGAACGTAAAATGGCGCTAATGTGAAATCACAGATGTCTATACTAAACTAGATTGCTAACAATTGCTCTGTTCTTTTTGGCTGCACTGCTAAACTAGTGCAATAAGTTAAAATGAGAAAACATATATGTGTCTCGCTTTAACTTATTGCACCAGTTCAGCAATGTAGCGTAAAAGAACAGGCCTATTAGCTCCTGCACACAGGACGCGGTAATGCATCCATTCCAATTGCTTAACACATCTTGACACATATGTACATAGAAATGCACAAATTGTAACGTTGTGCACGATTCAATTAGAACAAAGTGTGTACTAATGTATATATGTCGGGTAGAGTTAGGATTATTTTTCAACTATGCTTATACTTTGGTATTTTTTAATAATAAATAATAAAATCTAAATAATAAAAAAGATATTATCCACTTCACGTCGCAAATGCCAGTCTTTTTTCAAGCTGCTACGCTTATTAACTTTAATTTTCACTAGAAAACATTGGGTGCTTTCCAATTGCAATATCCCTAGACACTTTCATGCACACGGCGACACAAGTTGCATTACAATTATTGTAGATTGCGTTCCGAAATTCACTGTCAGTACTGAAAATCTATAGTTCATGTTACGTATATTATAGAATTTCAATACTGACAGTGAATTTTGGAACGCAGCCGTAATCGTCGACACAAGACTACACATCCGTACTCAGCTCGAGGGCTACTAGTCCGCTGTGTAAACTAGTGTTTTCTAGTGAAAATTAAAGTTGATAAGCGTAGCGTCTTGAAAAGAGACTGGCATTTGCAACGTGAAGTGGATAATAGGTTTGTTCGCGTCGCATGCCCAACATGTTTTTACTCGCTCCAACGCACTCTGATTGGCTCATGTCACCACGCGGACCAATCAGAGTATGTTGGAGCGAGTAGGAGCACGTTGGGGCATGCGACGCGAATAAACCTAATATCTTTTTGGTTAAGCGACAGTTTCCCGAAAAGTGGAGGGGATAATGTTGGTATCAAGGAAAATCTCTACACGATATAATTTAAAGACTTGTTCATTGTAACTGCACTGCTGAACTGGTGCAATAAATTGAAGTGAGATAAATATACGTTTTCTTACTTTAACCTTTTGCATTAGTTCAGCAGTGTGCAGTTACAAAGAATAGATCTTTAACTTATATCGTGTAGAGATTTTCCTTGGTACCAACATTATCCTCTCCATTTTTCGGGAAACTGTCGTCTAACCATCATTTTTATTATTTAGATTTTATTATTTATTATTAAAAAATACCAAAATATAAACATAGTTGAAAAATAATCCTAACCTTATCCGACATACATACACATTAGTACACACTTTGTTCCAATTGAATCGTGCACAACGTTACACTTTGTGCATTTCTGTGTACATATGTGTCAAAATGTGTAAAGCCCGTATCAGACTATAGATTAGGATTGAGATTAATTAAAATTGAGCCAATCAGAGCAAAATTGATTAGGCTCAAGTTTGATGAACTTTCCTCTGATTGACCAATTTTCAATTCAATCTCAATCTTAATCCATAGTCTGATACGGGCTTTAAGCAATTGGAAAGCACCCACTAGTTTACACAGCCGACTAGTAGCCCTCGAGCTGAGTACGGATGTGTAGTGTTGTGTCGATGATTACGACGATTGGAATGCAACTTGTGTCGCCGTGTGCATGAAAGTGTCTAGGGATATTGTAATTGAAAAGCACCTAATGCTTGCCGTACGGCAGAAGTTCGCGCGACAGCCAATCAATATGTTGTTTTTCCGTAAGAGTTAGAAGGTTATTACGGAAAGCAGCATATTGATTGGCTGTCGTGCAAACTTCTGCCGCGCAGCAAGCATTACCGCATCCTGTGTGCAGGAGCCATAAGGCTAGTGGCACACAAAAAAACTTAAGTAAAACGAAAAGCAGTAAAACGTAAACAGTAAGCAAATTGACCAATCACAGTCATTGATTCTTCTTACGGTCCAAGAATCAACGACTGTGATTGGTCAATTTGCTTATTGTTTACGTCTTACTGCTTAAGTTTTTCTGTGTGCCACAGTCCTTACTCCGCATATTGTAGACGACGCTTAATGGTCCGAGAATTAACGACTGTGATCGGTCAATTTGCTTACTGCTTACGTCTTACTGCTTAGGCTGAGTTCCTACTGAGCGCGTCACGTGTCGCGTCGTCTGCCTGAGTCACGAGTTAGCCAATCAAATCCTCTAATTGGGATGACGCGCGCGCGACGCACGACGCACTTGTTCCAATGGAACGATTTGATTAGTTAACTCGTGACGCAGGCAGACGACGCGACGCGTTGCGCGCTCAGTGGGAACTCAGCCTTAAGTTTTTCCGTAAGAGCTAGAAGATTATTACGGAAAGCAGCATATTGATTGGCTGTTGCATGAACTTCCGCCGCGCGGCAAGTGTTGCCGCGTCCTGTGGGCAGGAGCCATTAGTGGGCGCAAGTCACGTGCACCAATCACGCGGAGCCCCCCTATGGCTAGTCTTTACTCAAAGGTCGCTACGTAAAAATCGGCTAAAACATATGACGTGTCGCTCTCAGTTTCTCTCTGCTTTAAGCGTGTAGTGTACGCGAGCGTAGTGAGTCAGACGCAAAGAGTTAACCAAAATAACGTTAAAACTTGCACGAACATGTTCGGACCTGATTTTTTTGGAATTCGTACCTCAGTACCTTGAATGAAAAGACAATAGAGATAAGTCTGAGTCCAAGTAAAATAATAAGAGAGGCAAAGAGCTAACCTTTGTGCAATCTCACAGTTTTGAGGTTATAAAAGTCAACATCGGAAATTGTCAGTCGGCTGTAATAATGGAGGAAGTCACAAAGCTAGAGCACTTGTCTCTGGTGTCGAAGATCTGCACAGAGTTGGAAAACCATCTGGGCTTGAACGACAAGGACTTGGCCGAATTCATCATACATCTGGCCGAGAAGAACGACACATTCCCGACGTTTAAAAAGATATTGATCGAGAATGGAGCCGAGTTTTCGGATTCCTTTATGGCGAATCTTCTGAGGATAATACAGCATATGAAGCCCGTCAAAGCGTGTCCGGAAAAGAAGCCGTCCAATACAATGAGCAAGCAGGAGCTGGTGTTAAGATTTCCTGCGTTAGCGCTGCCGAACGAGGACGTGCAGCGTTCCAATAACAAAGTCGACACCAATTCCAAGGATGAGGATATCGTGAACGACGTAATGGCTTCCCTGGAGGCGTTCGCACCGTCGAGCAGGAAGCAAGCGAGCACGAGCAGCAGCGAGAAGAGGAGCAAACGACACGCGAGAAAGAGTGGAAGCAGGAGCCGAAGCAGGAGTAGGTCGCGAGACAGAAGGAGACACAGATCGAGAACACCATCGAGGCGCAGGGAGAGACGACGTAGAACTCGATCGCGCTCGAAATCTCGTGATCGAACTCGTCGGCGGTCGTCAAGGTCACGGGAACGCCGGGTAACGAGCGGCAATGACGGCAGATGGTCGCGAAGGACGCGCGAACGCGGTGGACGCGGCGGACGCGGCGAGCGTTCGAGGTCGGGTTCTGTCGAGGAACTCGCGGTGGAGCCGGAGGTCACCAAGATTTACGCGGGCAAAGTGGCCAACATCGTGCCGTTTGGCTGTTTCGTCTCACTAGAGGGTCTGAGGCGTAGGTGGGAAGGTCTGGTGCACATCTCCCAGCTGAGAAGAGAAGGCCGCGTGGCGAACGCGAGCGACGTCGTCTCCAGAGGCCAGAGGGTTCTGGTGAAAGTTCTTAGCGTCGGCGGGCAGAAGGTGTCGCTGAGCATGAAGGACGTTGACCAAGAGACCGGCAGGGACTTAAATCCTGTGGCGCCAGCAGTCGGTGTGAAAGCCGAAGAGGATGAGAAGCACCTGCGCAACCCGGACCGGCCGACGTCGCTACTGGAGCTACAAGGCAACTACGACGAGGACGAGACGTACTCACGCAAACGCGTCCAACGACTCTCATCGCCAGAGAAGTGGGAGATCAAGCAGATGCTCGCGGCCTCGTGCATTGACAGGAGCGAGCTACCCGAGTTCGACACGGAAACAGGCATTCTGCCGCGCGAAGACGACGAGGAGGAGGATGTGGAGATCGAGCTGGTGGAGGAGGAGCCGCCGTTTCTTCATGGCCATGGTAGGGCGCTCGGCGATCTCAGCCCCGTGCGCATTGTCAAGAATCCAGACGGTTCGCTTGCGCAGGCGGCGATGATGCAAAGCGCCTTGGCGAAGGAGCGCCGCGAACAGAAGATGTTGCAGCGCGAGCAGGAGATGGACTCGGTGCCGGCCGGCCTTAACAAGAACTGGATTGACCCGCTGCCGGAAGCTGAAAGCAGGACCCTCGCGGCCAACATGCGCGGCATCGGCCTGCAGACGCAGGACCTGCCCGAGTGGAAGAAGCACGTGATAGGCGGCAAGAAGTCGTCGTTCGGTAAGAAGACCAACCTGACCCTGCTCGAACAGCGGCAGAGTCTACCGATCTATAAGCTGCGCGACGACCTCGTCAAAGCCGTGACCGATAATCAGATCTTGATCGTGATCGGCGAGACCGGCTCTGGTAAAACGACGCAGATCACGCAGTACCTGGCCGAGGCGGGCTTCACGGCGCGCGGCAAGATTGGCTGCACGCAGCCGAGGCGGGTCGCCGCAATGAGCGTGGCGAAGCGGGTGGCCGAGGAGTTCGGTTGCTGCCTCGGCCAAGAGGTCGGCTATACCATTCGTTTCGAGGACTGCACCGGACCGGAGACTAGCATCAAGTACATGACCGACGGTATGCTGCTGCGTGAGTGCCTGATGGACCTCGACCTCAACATGTACTCGGTAATCATGCTGGATGAGGCGCACGAGCGTACGATCCACACCGACGTGCTGTTCGGCCTGTTGAAACAGGCGGTCGGCCGGCGGCCTGACCTCAAGCTTATCGTCACCAGTGCCACGTTGGACGCTGTCAAGTTCTCGCAGTACTTCTTCGAAGCGCCGATATTCACAATACCCGGTCGCACCTTCGAGGTCAATGTGATGTACACGAAAGAGCCGGAGACAGACTATCTCGACGCGGCCCTCATCACCGTCATGCAGATACATCTGCGCGAGCCGCCAGGCGACATTCTACTGTTCCTCACCGGCCAGGAGGAGATAGACACCGCTTGCGAGATCCTCTACGAGCGCATGAAGTCCCTGGGCCCGGACGTGCCGGAGCTGATCATCTTGCCGGTCTACTCGGCGTTACCCTCGGAGATGCAGACGAGGATATTTGAACCGGCGCCGCCCGGCTCGCGCAAGGTCGTCATCGCCACCAACATCGCTGAAACCAGCCTGACGATCGATGGCATCTACTATGTTGTAGACCCGGGTTTCGTCAAGCAGAAGGTATACAACTCCAAGACCGGCATGGACAGTCTGATTGTCACGCCGATCAGCCAGGCAGCGGCGAAACAGCGCGCCGGCAGGGCCGGTAGAACTGGCCCTGGTAAGTGTTATCGCCTCTACACGGAACGGGCGTATCGCGACGAAATGCTGCCGACGCCGGTGCCAGAGATTCAACGTACGAACCTCGCCACGACAGTGCTGCAGCTCAAGACCATGGGCATCAATGATCTCCTGCACTTCGACTTTATGGACGCGCCGCCAGTCGAATCGCTCATCATGGCATTGGAGTCGCTGCATAGCCTGAGCGCTCTCGACAACGAGGGTTTGCTCACGCGCCTTGGCCGGCGAATGGCGGAATTTCCGCTGGAACCGAACCTCTCCAAGATGCTCATCATGAGCGTGCATTTGCAGTGCTCCGACGAAATTCTCACCATTGTCAGCATGCTGTCTGTGCAAAACGTTTTTTATAGACCCAAGGACAAGCAGGCTCTGGCCGATCAAAAGAAGGCCAAGTTCAATCAGGCCGAGGGTGATCACTTGACGCTGCTGGCGGTCTACAATTCCTGGAAGAACAACAAGCTCAGCAATGCCTGGTGCTACGAGAACTTTGTGCAAATCAGGACGCTGAAACGCGCCCAGGACGTGCGCAAGCAACTCTTGGGTATAATGGACCGACACAAACTGGACGTAGTGTCGGCCGGCAAGAACACTGTGCGCATACAGAAAGCGGTGTGTTCTGGCTTCTTTAGGAACGCCGCGAAGAAAGATCCGCAGGAGGGATATAGGACACTAGTGGACAGCCAGGTGGTTTATATTCATCCGAGCAGCGCGCTGTTCAATCGCCAGCCGGAGTGGGTCATCTACCATGAGCTGGTGCAGACTACCAAGGAGTACATGAGAGAGGTGACGACCATCGACCCCAAGTGGCTGGTGGAGTTTGCGCCGGCCTTCTTCAAATTCAGTGATCCCACCAAGCTCAGCAAGTTTAAGAAAAATCAAAGACTGGAACCGCTTTACAACAAGTACGAGGAACCGAACGCCTGGAGGATATCCAGGGTCCGCAGACGACGTAATTAAATGGACACATCGATGAACAAACGACTATATTTCCACTACGGACAGTTTCGCGCACGTCTGTACATACATGTACATAATATTTTCTATTTCGATTTCAAAAGTATTGATCTCTTCAGATTCGAAGAGTCTAGTTCGAGATAATATTTCTAATCGTTCTTTCGCGACAACTCGTGTCAGCAGTGACAAGATCTGCTGGAATGAAAAATGAGATGTTTTTATTTCGCACGTGTAACATTTTTAATCATCCAGTTGCAGTTCCTTTCGATATGCATACGAAGCGAGTGTATATACATCTCATCTCGTTAGGAAACAAGTAACGAAAACTAACAAATAATGTTGTGAGGATATCGATTCGATATTTTATTGTTATTATAAATTGTAAACAGACATCATAGAAAACGGTGAAACGTATTGTAATTGTCGAATTATATACAAGGATGCAAGAAAATTATTTACAGATATCTGCGTGTGTGTATATACTTGTAAATATTTTGTAAATATACAGGTCATAAACGTATCTATTCACGCGTCGCATTATATCTCCACAGTAGCCTTTGTTGATATTTGTGTTGTTAGTACCTGCTTTGGTAGAATTTACACACGATACAAATTCTAATAATCAGTCTTTTAGAAAAGAGGACATATTTGAGATTATAAGTTTTCAGTCTTTTTTCCCTCTTGATTAATTATTAAATTTATTAAATAAATACATTCTCGCGATAAACATTTAATAAGATGACATGGAAAAACATTCATTTTCTCTTGCTTGTTCCTTTCTTCTTTCCATCCTTCCTTTCCTTTTTTAGATTTCTTATTGTACCATGGTGACAAAGTCAATTATTCATGGATACATGTATGTAAACGCGAAACATGATTGAAATATTTGTATGCAAAAAAAATGTGTAGGAAATTTATAATTTTTCCAAAAAAAAAGATCAATTGATATATTTTGTAATAAGGAAATATCACTTCTCGCTCCTGTACTTATAATATGATTCGATAATATCTTTTTTCCTTTTATATATATATATATATATATGTATAGTTCAGTAATACTATTTCTCTTGGCTCGATGGTATAAAGTACATTTTGTCGAAAAAAACAACATCCTATACAAGTTGAACTATTGAGATTGTTGCTTCTTTTTCACTAGTTCCACCAATTGCCTGTAGCGTGCTTGGCATTCATCCTGTAAGCAATAATTTCAAGAGTTATGGAAATAAACACAAATCGGAGATTTCAATAAATTTCTTCATATAATTTCGTTTCCCCCATAACAAGTATATTCTCTATAGTGATATCGTACCCTTGTCTTTCCTTCGACGCAATTTGCAATCTTCTCCCACCTGTCTATAGATACACCTTTGGGATATTTCGTTAGGGCAGCTTCTAAAGCCCTTTGCTGTTCTTGGCTCCAATCAGCAGTGTTCATTGTATTTTCAATGCGGGTCTTAATCTTCTTTGGTCTTTCCTCTGCAGGGATCTCCTCCACTGGTTCGCCAGGCTTCAAGCCTTCGTCTTTTATCTAAAACAAGATGAAATATATACGTTAATATAACGCTGGGAAATCTTAGGAAATGCACAAATTTAACGGTAGCCTAACCTTTTTAGCCATGTGTGTAACTTCAGCGACGGTACGATTCATAATATTCGCAATTTTTTCCCATCGTTCCGGCGTTCCTCCAGGATACTTTTTTACATATTTTATCAGCTCTAATATGTCATTATCGGTCCACAAGCCACCCGACAGCGTTGACTTTTCATAGACATGATTCGTGTAATCACAGTCCTTCTTTGTAGTCTCTTTAACATTGCTACCGCTTCTTTCTTGTGGGGTAAAACCGGTCCTACGTTTTCTAACCCCGCGCGACACTGTTTCCGGCTCAGATTGTTCATTCTCTTGTGCTCTGGAGTATAGTTAAGTTCGCATTTCTTTTTAACTATTTCAAAGTTGAATAAATTATAATACATAAAGAGCTGTGCTATATACTTACAATGCTTCTTCCTCTTCCTGTTTCTTCCTCTCTTTCCTATCCTTCAAAAGTTGAATTGTAAGACGAATGGTAGACGGTACAGCTATCACGGAACTTATCAGCCATCTAGGCAATTGAAATGGAAGAGTGTTCCACATGGTTGGAGTGGGAATTTTTTCCAAAATATCAGCCAAATCTGGGACATCCATCTTGCTCTTTCTATTTTTTTTTTGCATTTTTTGAAGTTTGCTACCTAAAACTTGTTCCTGCAATCACAACATGATTGTACAATACTGACCTTTATATTCAACAAAGAATGATTTCTAGTGCAAAATTGATACTTACATAAGTATATCGTTTTTCAAAGTATGCTGCCCATGCTACAAGATACTGTCCTATCGTGATGACTGTAAATAAAATGATACTCATTTCCAGTAGTCCCATTTTCCGTACATGACGGTAGTAGTATACCGCCGATCGCCAATTTGGCAAACCATTGACAAGCACATTGTCATATCGTTGCCTCTTTCCAGGATCTTTTAAAATATCATAAACAGCAACTAACTATAAAAAAAAAAAAAACAGAAACATGAAAAACTACCAATGTGATTTCAGTCACTCTTGTATCTTCCGTGCTGCATTATTTTCTGAACAAAGTACCTTTCTAAATTGTTGTTCTGCATCCTCTGCAGAGTTCTTGTCTGGATGCAACTGCAACGACAGACGTCTGAAAGCTTTCTTAACCTCGGAGGCGTTCGCAGACTGAGAAAAAAGAAATTATACTCATCGGTTATCGAGGTTTACGTATTGCTGCACGTGTATTTTTAATGGAATTTCATGTCGAGTCATCTCAGATGTGTATTAAAGATAATATACCTGCGTAACGCCCAATACTTCGTAGAAATTTTGATTGACCTCCTCGACCACATCGAACACCTCCAATTCGTCGTTGTCCCATGCATGGGAAAATCTAAACGCGTTCAGAAAATAGAAAATCTCAAAAGTGATCAATGGTACGTTCATTTTTGTCCACTGCATATAGACATAGTTATTAATACACCCGCGTTTCTTCAGTGCTCTGTGCGAAAATCAAATTTTTCTAAGACATAGTGTTGTTTTTCAGTGAAGATTCTCCTTTATCGGCCAAGAATACGAAGAATTAGGTTAGAAATCCTCTCTTTGACGTAACTGCCACATTGCAATTATTTCTTATTTGCGATTCTCTCTCTCTCTCTCTCTCTCTCTCTCTCTCTCTCTCTCTCTCTCTCTCTCTCTCAATGCTGACTTTAAACGTCTACTTAGCCGAAATCCCTAAGCTATTAATCGATATATCACTGGAAATTGGAAACAGGCGACTGCGATATATCAAAATGGAGACAGGCGCTGTCGCACGACCGATGAATCGATATATGTTCGATTCTTTTTTAGCTCAAGGATCGACTTTTCTTTTGAATTTCCACTTTCAAATTCGATCAATTCCAAACTACTAATCTGATACGAAGGTAGCACAGAACAGAATCAAAAAGTCGTTACCTATCATCCACCGAGGAACATTGTGGACATTGTTTACATAAGTTATATCCACATTTTTCTTCTCATTTTTTTAAATATTATAAATAATTTCGAAAAGATTCAAAATCATTTCGATTACTTTCTGTTTTTCAGGTATAATCGATTATCATAAACCGATATTGATTAAAATCGATTGTTTTTGCAATCGGTTTGTTTTTTCATCGAATGGCGCTGCTATATCTCAACAGTGGTTGTCAATTGAGAAACCGTTATCTACAATGGATTTCGGTGTTAACGATACATTACTAACGTTTAATGACAAATGCAACGATAGTCGAGACGTCGAAGGTATCAGTTTTGCGAAATTCGAATATAACTCGTTAATACGTATCATTTCATACACTGTTATTTTGTAGATTTCGAGAATTTGGACGAAATATAAGAGACATAACCTGCAAGTTCACTCATCCCACTCGTATAGATATTTTCGGTTAATCAGCCACAAAGATTACGTTTGATCGGCTAAAATGTTGGAGGGGCTTGTAGCTTGGGTGCTAAACAATTATCTCGGTAAATATGTGGAAAATTTGAATACGGATCAGCTGAGCATTGCCTTATTATCAGGTGAGGTTATGTTCTGCTACGCATTTAAACGGGCAGAATTTTTTGATTTTTAGCTTGCTATATACATCTCGCATAAAATATACTAAATGAATATGATGCAATATTTTGTCTGTCGCTTTGTCTACTTAATAACGCAATTTGGGCAAGTTAGTTCGCTATGTACAATTAAATATATCAATGTTATTCAATTTGTCTCTTTTTATGGAAATTTATGATTTGTTGTTTTCTTTTATTCTTTTATAAAATAAAGCAATGAACTTACTTGATATTTTGAAAACAAAGAAATTTTATTTTTATCAGGGGAAGTTGAACTAGAAAATTTACCCTTGAATCGAGAAGCTTTACGTCATATTGGACTACCAGTAGAGATTAAGGCTGGATTTATTGGTAAAATTAGATTGCAAGTGCCAGTTAGACAAATAAGGACTGCATCATGGGTAATAGGTATGGAGCAGCTTTATTTGGTAGCAGGTCCAATTAATCTGGATGAGGTAAAGATTCTTGTTTAAAAATTATTGCAAAAATTTGTTGTAAAATATCAGCTCAAATATATATTTCTCTACAGTATGACAATGAGGTAGAGGAACAAGCAATATTAGAATACAAACTCAGTCGATTGGATGCTTTGGAAGCAAGGTGGAGAGCCAATGTAGACCATGATCCTGGTTATTATGCCACGAGTTACAGTTCATGGATCAACTATGGCACATCTTTAATAACAAATATCATTGAAAATTTACAGTTGAATATCAAAGATGTTCATATTAGGTACGAAGATGGTGTTACATTGCCTGGTGGTAAGCATTTCTTTGACATTATGATTTTTCAAAGATATATTGGTATAATTAGAGCATTTTCCCATTTTAAAGATTATTTTCATCTATTCATAGATAATGGTATTGCGTTTGGTATTACAATTGGAGCACTTATTGCTCAGAGTTGCGACGCCAGTTGGATACCTGGCTCTACATCTTGGAATCTAACAGATGCCTCTTTCAAACTAATGGAACTCGATAGTCTTGCAATTTATTGGAGCCACATAAAGAAAGACCAACTCTTCAGTGGTCTCAATCTTGGCGATTTAGCTGTAAGTACAGTTTTACTATGCGCGATAATGTAACGTGTATCATTATTCTACCTGTGCATTGATATTAATATACTTTATTGTGAGATTGGATTTACAGATTGCCATGAGCAAATCGAGAAACGGCACGAAAAGTTACATTTTATTACCCGTGAACGCAAGGGCGCACATTAAAAGAGATCGAACCGAACGACCGTTGAGATCTATTAATAATCCGCGTATCGTAGTAGATTTACTTTTGGACGAAGTACCGTTATCTATAACAGACGTAAGTGTAATAATCGGTCGCTCGATCGGTTGACAAATAATACACGCAATATGATGCATTAGGTTCAATATGAGGAGATGGTCAAGTGTATCAAAGAGCTTGAACGAATAGATCGTCGCAAGCAACAGTGGCGATGTAGACCCAAGATGCCTGTGACGGGTGGCTGCACGGAATGGTGGAGGTACGCCGCTCGATGTCACCTCGGCAGAGAGACGCTCAAGCCCAAGCCATCTTGGAAAGTTGTACTTCTCAAAGCCAGAGAGAATGTTTTTTACGTTCAAGCGTACGCTAAATTGTTAGGTACGGACGATTTTTCTGGCAGCGAAGTTGATTATTGCACGAAACAATTTAATCTTGAATCTGCATGGTGTTTCTCTCGCAGGTACACCTACTTCGACCCTGCCGGCGGAAACTAAAAGGCTGAAAGAGAAGGTCGAGTGCGAACGAAGTTTCGATGAGCTTAGAATACTGAGGGAACTGGCTATGTACAAGATAAGACCCGCCAAGTCTCACGAAAAGCCCGATGAGAGCGTGCCGCAAGGGCGCGGTATGCTCGAACAGTGGTTTCCGCAATGGTGGGGCTGGTACTCGAAAACGCCTCATAGTAACACGCAAAACGCCTCTTCGACCACCTTTGACGGAGAACTCCTGGACGTTTTAGCGGACACCGTAGACGATGACACTCTGCTGCGACGCGACACAGTATTCGGGCAGTTCAATTTCGCTCTGGTGCATGGTGCTATATCGTTATGCACCGAACGAAACGGCAGCGACAATATCAAGACCGTTATAGAGCTAAAGTTTGAGAAAGTTAATTTGAGTTACGAGTCACGACCCAGATTCGGATCACACAGGTTCTCAGTCAGTCTGGGTGCTTTGTATCTTCATGATTTTCTCACAGAGAATTCAATGTTTCCCATCCTAGTACAGCCCCAGGTCGCGTCGAGTGCGACGTCCATACGCGCACGCAACTCGTCGGACAAGCCGAAGAAACAGATGCCGTTGCATCTGTTTGAACTGGTATACGAGAAGAAGCCGTTACACGTCAGCACGGATCACTTGCTGCATGTATACTCCAAGTCCCTGGATGTCGTGTACAATCCCACCGTAATATACTGGCTGATAGACTTCATGTGCAAGCCATTCCGGTCGTCGTCTAATCAACGATTGCAGGCGATGAAGCGTCGCACAAGGAAGCAGCTGATGAAGAACTGGGAACAAATTTTAGACGGCGACTTTGTATATCGTTCCTCGTGGGATCTACAGTTCAAAATTTCCGCGCCGCAGATCTTGCTGGTGGAGAGCTTCGTCGATACCAACGCGGCTATGGTGATAGTCGATCTGGGCAAATTACACTTGTCAAACGACGCAAACCTGAATCAGGTGACACTAAGAGCAGCCGAGTCGACTAACAGCGACGACGAGGAGGAGAGATTCGAGACACCGTGCTCCACTCCGCCAGGTAGCCAGGAAAACGGTTCGCTACACGATTTCCAAGGCTTGTCCGAGACAGAATTGCACAAGAAATTGTACGACCAGTATTCTATTGACTTGGTGGATCTGCAAATCTTGGTGGTTAGAGCGAAAGACAATTGGAAGTATGTTCGTACTAGAGGTATGTCCACGTTGCATCTCTTGGAGCGTTTCAATATATCACTGCAAATCGAGCGACGAGTCTTCATTACTTCGGACCCCAATTTCCCGTCGGTTACGGTGTCTGGCAACTTGCCGCGACTGGTGGTACACGTGAACGAATATAAAGTGGGCGCGATGCGTCTTATATACAATTTACTGTCAAATTTCTCCAATTCGGCCGGCATCCCTCAAACGGAGACTGTCAGCGCGGAGCCCGAAAGTCCACGAAGAGAAGAGAATTTAGATCGTTCGTTGAGTCACGCCGTGATGGTACAGTTTATTATCGATCAGATGACCTTCGAGCTGCAATCGAGAGGTCGTAGCGTGGCGGAGCTGCAGGTCTCCGGTGTTCGAGCAGCCCTCAGCAAGAGAATGGCGGACCTGAGTATCTCCCTCTCAGTCCACGGATTGCTTCTGGTCGATGCCATTCAAGTGCTGGGTTCGGATTTTGAACTTTTGATGGCTAGTCACAAGCACGTCGGCATGGACAGTATTTCCGGCAGCCTAAGGGACTCGGAGCCGACGTCACCGGTTTCGCCGGAATCGCCCGAATCCCCGGACTCGACGAAGCCGGCGCGACTCACATCGCCTGTCGCCTTGACTGACGCTCTGTCCAGCTTGGTGAGCAAAACCAAAACTCCACAGGAGTCACGCAGGAGTAATTCGCTAGCTGGTATCGAGAAACTGGACTCGGAAGCACTGATTGTCGTGGAGCTGACACTAGTGGACGATCCCGTGGAAAATCTGAGAATGGCGAATATACAGTTCAATAATCTTGACATCATAGCCAATCAGGAGACAATAGTGGAGTTGATGGGTTTCTTTCAAAGGATCCTGCCGATAAGGTCGAGATCGGCGCGCATCGAGAGATACGGTTCTCTGTCGAGTCAGAACGCGCAAACAAGATCAACGTCGACGCGAACGGAGATCACCTTCGACTTCCATCGCCTGAACGTACTGTTGCTGCGCGCAGTGATGCAAGGTGACAGCCTGGTGGGGCAGAAGATCGCCACCGCGACCATGTCGGACGCGCGCATACAAGCGACATTAGCCGTCGACACTTCGATCTCGGGCTCCCTTGGCGGGGTGCAAATTCTCGATCAGACGTTGACCGGCAAAACGCATCAGCGGATACTCAGCGTGGGCAGGGATCCACTGGCGGATCCTCCGCACTATCCGCTAGAGCACTTTGGCAGTTTATCCGATCAGCCGGAGGCGTTTCGATTCGTGGCCAGCCGCAGCATCAGGCAAGCCATCGACGAGCAGGATTGTACGGAGACCGTGGTGGACCTGACGATACGTGTGGCCAGCGTCTGGTACACGCACGCGCCGCATCTGATATCGGAGTTGCGTTCGTGCGCCGACGAATTTAAGCAGTACCTGAGTAACTTTGCGCGGCAGATCAGCGCGGCTGCCACCGACATGGCGATCGGCTTGGTAAATGCCGAGGACTGGACGATTCCGCCGCGCAAACGATTGCCGAGCGTCTCGTATGACCTGGAGAACACAAATGTGACATCGTTGCGACTCGATGTGCTACTAGAGAGCCCGGTGTTAGTGATACCGCGCTCCTCGCACAGCCGGCAGGTATTTGTAGCTCACCTGGGCACGATGTCGTTGCAGCACGAGCCTCATCTCGGGTCCCTGGCGAAGCACAAAGTCACACTAGAGGTACGTGACATGAATCTCTATTCTCTCGAGGTATCCGCGAATGCGAGCCAGCTACAGAATAATTTGCCGATGAGAGCCGAGGAAATGTACTCGTGCAAGGAGTCGGGCAAACCGATATTACACGATACAATGCTTAAGATACTGGTGGAGAAGGAGAACACGTTGACGCAGAGCACGAGTTTTCTGCTGGACGGTGACTTCACTAACAGTCCGATCGTGCAAGTGCACGGGGCCGTGATAACACCGCTCAAGGTATCTCTGTCGCGCGGCCAATACGAGCAGTTACTCGACACTATTAACCGATTGTTCTCTATGCCGGTGAGCGCCGCTGCGGTCTCAGTGTCCGATCATCTCGACGGCAGATCCAGATATTCCGAGAAGTTGGACCTTTCCATGAAGGTCTCGTTCGAGCTGCCGATCCTGAGCATGGAGCTAAAGCGAGCGCACTCGGAGCAGCCGCTTATCGAGTTGTCAATGCGTGACTTTGTCGTCAAGTACGAGAATTTGCACCGGAACGAGTCAACCATTCAGGTAGCGCTGCGTTCCCTCCTTATGGAGGATCTTCTGTGTCCGGTGGGCTCACGGCACCGCTTTATGATGCAGTCGTCGGCACCCATGCGTGCCAAGTTGCCCACTGGCGCATCCAAGTCGTGTCCGGATCTCGCTTACGCGCGACAGTTGAAGAATGTGTACGGTCGCGGCAGTTTGCCCGACCGTTTGGAGACCGACACACTGTACGGCACAATCCCGGCGCACTGGCGCAGGAAACCGATCTCGCCGTCAGCCGACACGCCGAACACGCCGCCGCCATCACCAGGCGCGATTGCCAGCGAGGAGAATCTCGTATTGATGAGCATTACCATGTATCAGCCAGAAGAGAACGCGCGGCCGGAAGAGCGGTGCCATCGCAAAATGGTAACCGTGGACTTCAATTGTCTGGATCTAGTGATAAGCGTGGAGTCGTGGATGGTGGTGTTTGACTTCTTTGGGATTGCAGGCCTATCCGAGGCGGCGTATAGTGGGACGGCCACGCGTCGCGCCACGCCTGACTACGATCGCGCGAGTAAGGTGGACGATTTGCCGATACGCTCCGAGACGGAGATAGAGGTGAGATCGTTGACACTGGTGCTGACGCAACGAGAGCGCGAGATCGCGAAAGCGAATGTATCCAACGCCAGTATGTACGTCCTCAACGCAAACGGCAAGACCAAGGTCCTGGGACAGTTGGGCTCGATGTCGTTGCTAGATCTAACGCCGCACGGCCGTTTCTATCGGGAGAGATTTCTCACGTCCGGCAGGAAAGCGCTCAACTTCCAATACTCGAGTTACGCCGATTGCGAGCACCGGCCGCATGACGCACGCCTCAAGCTAGAAATGTCCGCGGTGCACTACGTGCACACGCAGCGATTTGTCGCGGAGTTGCAGACGTTTTTCAGCCACTTCTCACAGCTGTGGAGTATTATGCGAAATTTGCGAGCCGGAGCCGGCGCCGTCCTAGACACGAACAAGCGCGGCACGCGACTCTCGTTGGAGTTGCATGCCGGCGCACCTGTGATCCTGTTGCCGGTGAGCTCCCGCTCCGACCAACTGATCCTGCTAGATCTGGGGGAGCTCACCGCGCACAATCGATTCGACACCTCGTCGGTGGTGGCGGATTGCATGCTGGAAGTCATGTTGCTCGAGCTGGTCAACATGGATGTGTACGCGGCGCGACGACTCAAGTGTGACAGCCTGAACGATGACGCGAGTGCTCTAAGAGTAGGTGGTTTCCTCATCAAGAAGATGGGTTCCTCACTGCTCACGGAGAAATGCCATCTGAAACTGCGTGTCGAGCGGAATTTGGACACCTACATCAGTCGCGTCATACCCGATCTGAGCGTGCATGGTATACTGTCGACGATGGACTGCGCCTTGGACCCCGCACAATACATGCTAATCCGCGGCCTCCTGTCTTACAACATTGGTGAGAATTTGGACGACTTGCGTCTCCTCGTTCAGGATCTAAATCATACGTACGTGATTTCGGTGGAGAACAATTGCATCAACACATGGACAAGATCCTGCATCACACTCGAGCTGGTGAACGTGACTGTGAGGCTCCATCCCAGCCACAACATCGCCGCGTTAGCGTGCATCAATTTCATCAAATCGAGACTGACTCTGGACTCGCTAAGCGACGGATCGCAGGACATCGATCTAGTGTCACAGGAGATACTAGTGACAGACACGCGTTTTCAAAATGAGCCAGCCGATCGTCGATGCAACGTGTTTACACGTATCTTGCAGCCACTGAGGACCTCCTACGATAGCACGGAGAGTCGCGTTCAAGCTGAGGTACATCATCGGAAGCGTAAAACTTACGCCGCAACTACCATATTGCTGCACAGCATGCGGCTAACCGCCATCCTGGACTGGTGGGAGGCCGTGCGAGATTTCATATTGCTGAATTCACCGGAACCGGACCCTATACCCGGAACCTCGCAGTTAGTCGTCTGCCAGGAGACTGAGACTGCCACCACCGCATCGACCGGCTTGCCGATCGAACTCAAGATCAACATCACAGGCTCGGAACTGGTGATTGTCGAAGACACCTCATTTCTCGATACCAATGCTGTGATACTGAAGACCACTGCCGTCTTGTCGTATCGCTCTACGCCACAGGAGGGCGAAAAGCCACTCTCCTGCAATCTTTCGCACTGCGAGCTGTTCTCGTGTGTCTTAGGTATGGAGAATGAGACTGCTTTGTCGATCATCGATCCGGTCGGGGCGAGTCTGGATCTCACACAGGACAAGTACTTAGAGGTCCAACTGCAGCCGCTGTGCGTGAGATTGAGCTATCACGACGTGACCATGTTCTCCAGGATGCTGAGCTCCATTCCCAAGCAGACCTCGTGGGCTAAACGGAGGTCGAGCGAGGTCGACGGTGTTGTGGACAGCCGAGTGTCGAAACTGACCACCTTAGGCTTCGCCGAGGTTGACTGTAGAACCGCTTTGGATCATTGTGACGGCCAGCTGGACGACGCTGCTTTGTGGCTGACGCAAAACGCTGAACCAGCTTCTGAAATCGCCGCTAATAACGATGAATCTGTATTCCGCGCCGTGGAGTTGCAAGCGTCTTGCATACGAATCTGCGTTATAGACGACTGTCGGGACGCGGATGTACCGCTGCTGGAGATCACACTGACGGATTTTAATCTGCGTCAAGTGAATCAACAGCCTGGTATGCTGTCGGCTACTTTTGGCGTGGATTATTACAATCGAGTGTTGAGTGGTTGGGAGCCGTTCATCGAGCCCTGGCGCGCGAGCATTCAGTGGGAACAGCTTACCGGCTCATTCGACCTCAAGAAACTGCACGTGACTATTGATTCCCAGGATTCTGTCAATGTCAACGTTACCCTGACTTTGGTAGAACTCGTGCAATTAGTCAAGCATAATTGGACGCAGGATTATTATCTGTCTAATGGGCCTGTCTCGGCCACTGCCAAATTGGCGACGAAAGGGCAATGGTATCGGCGCCGTTCGCCTTTCGTGCCTTTCGCCTTGAAAAACGACACCGGCTGCAGTCTCTGGTTCAAAACATTCATCGCCACCGCAGGCGATGCGATGGATTCCGGGAAAAATTTTCAAAGAAAGAATTCCGTTCGTAAGGACAACACATGGATAGAAGTGACTCCGGGAGATACCACGTCGTTTACGTTCGAAGGGAGAGGAAAGCTGAGGCATCACGAAACGCACACCGTCAGAAGACATCAGATCGTGGTACAGGTCGAGGGATGGAAGCCGGTAGAGCCCGTAACCGTTGATCGCGTTGGTATATACTTCCGACACACGAATGCGGACATTGCCGAATCTGAGGTAAAGGTATACATATATAAAAAAAAGATATTATTCTACTGTTAAGAAAAGCGATTAATAAATAAATATATATATATATATATATATATATATATATATA